TATATATATTTTTTTTTAAACCTAACAGGTTTGTGATTATTACTATATCATGATCTGTTGATTGCACATAAGAATAAAACTAATTAGAAATAAAATCCGTTGAGGTTGAGTTGACTCTGACTCATGGCAGCCCCATATATCACACAGTGGAATTGTTCCATAGGGTCTTCTTTGCTGTGATCTTTATGGAAGTAGATTGCCAGACCTTTCTTCTGTGGAAAAATAAAGGTGTTACTATAAAAATCTCTAGCTATAAAGAACAAAAAAAATCTTCCTGAATTTTCTCTAAAGCAGTGTTTCATATAGCAAAACAAATTTTCCACTGGCTTCCATTATAAAACTAGATGCTTATTTTTATAGGAAAAAAAAATGACCCTAAATTATAAGTTCAGCCCCACTAAAGAATTTTTCTTCAGCATAACTGTGGGACCAGTTCTTTCTGACATCAGTGGCTGTCCCAGCCAACACAAAACAAGATTGTTGTGCATCCCAGCTACTTTAGCTGCTTTCGTTAGCTCTAAATTTTGCAATTCCAATCACTACCCTCACTCCCACCTCCCTCCAAAAAAAGAGAAAGAGCTCAAGAGGGAGGAAAAATCTGTAACCAAGGGGGAGACGACATACCATTCTAATGAACAGAATGAGCTTACTTCAGGCAGCCTATTGCATCTCAGGCAAAATTCTGTGAAATATGTGGTAATGAGTATTTAATGTGTTCTGGTATTTCTAAGCTGCTTATGGCAGATTCCAAATACTGAGTCATTATATAACAAAGAATACCTATAAAGAAGTTGCAATCCTTCCTTAAGGCAGTTAAGGAAAGTCAGATGTCAAAAGATGACCATATGTAATTGTTCTATGAAAGCTTTAGCAAAGTGAAACAATCAGATTTATTTTTATTTTAAATATCTGTATTTATTTTATATTATACCTTTTTTCCCCCATTAGTGTATTTTTATGCAAATAACACACAGGTTCTAAAAAAATATGGTGGCTTTACAGGGGTTTAGCAAGGGTAACGAGTGCCCAGGGGCAGTCTCTAAGTTTTGCCTTCCCTCCCCTCATTTGAGCACCCAGGGGCAGTTTCTAAGTTGTACCTCCCTTCCTCCAAATTTCAAGATGAATAGACATTGATAGCGACGACAAAAACCGAGAAACCGAGCACACCCACTGCCCAGGCACAAATTCCAGCTGCACCCCATCCCGGGTGGCGGGCAGGCTGATGGGGTGCCCGAGCATTGGCAGCGACACTAGCGGCACTTCTGGGCCAGTGATTCATTCTGGCAGACACTGAGAAGCCGCAGCCGCAGAGAGCAGCACTGAAACGTGGCTAAAGTGGGCACAGGCTTTCTGGAGCAGCTCAAGTCCTGCATAACTTGGTTTGGACGTATCTCTGGACCATTTGGTGTTGGCCCTTCTGACAGTGTCACCTGGTGCAATCCGCACCCCCTAGTGACACCACTGGTGCCCCCTTGGACTTGAGCCGGGGGCAAGTGCTGCCCGTGCTCCCACCTTTCCCAGCCGTCGCGCCCCCTCCCCCAACACTACACCTCTGTAGCCTTGATAGAATAATTTTTTCTTTTTAAGCCAGAATACTTCAGGAAGAGTTTAAAGAAAAATTGACCTGTTGAAAGTATTTAAGATGATAACTTTCAATATGCTATGATTTTTCTATAAGTAGCACGAGATTTTGAGAGTAAATTTTAAACATTTATTTATGGTCCAGAATTCTTGAAGTAATGTTGGAAACATGCTAAACATGTAATTTTGAGATTTCATCTTTTATTCTAGCTGAACCTACGAACGATCCGCCTTCAGTCCCTGTCTCGAATGCTGCCAGAAGGAATGTCTTGGATAGTTCATGTAGTTCTGACTTCAGTTCAAGGTAGATTCCAGAATGACTTCATTTTCACTATTTCCGTTTTGTTCACTAATGAAATCAAAATAAAATTTTATTACCTTAATTAAAGGTGTTTTATTTCATTCGGAATTTGAACTAAATTGTGTTTAATTGGATCACCCTTTTAATGCCTGTTATAACTTAAATGTAATTAAAAATTACACTGAAATGTATATTTCATAAGCAGACTTTTATGAACCATACTGAAATTGGGAGAATATATTCTAAGGTCCAAATAAAACCAAAAACAAACAAAACCCATTGTCGTTGAGTCAATTCTGACGCATAGCGACCCTATAGGACAGAGCAGAACTGCCCCATAGGGTTTCCAAGGAGCGGCTGGTGAATTCAAACTGCCGACCTTTTGATTAGCAGCCAAGCTCTTAACCACTGCACCACCAGGGCTCCAAGATCCAAGTATCTTAAAAACACACTTTTGCAGCATAAATTTAGAGTTGAGAACTAGCTAAATGATAGGTAGCTCTTAGGTCTCAGGGAGAAATTTTTAAATTTTATTTGGGTTTTAACATTTTTTTTAAATATCTTAAAATCTTTGAGACAGTTTTTCATACTGTTTTTAGTTACTGTCACCATTGAGAGATCACAACAAAATATTTATTATAATATTGAATCTTTATCTAATGCTTTAATTCTTGATATCAGGAACTGAAATGAAAGTAAAAATGTCCTACCATTTAATATCAGGATAATCCTGACCTCTGACCCAGTTACCGTATTTTTACACAAATGATGCCTGTCTTCTTCGTTTGTTTGCCAGCTGTGCCCTCCCTCTCCCCTCCCCACCCCTTGCAGACTTGCGGGGGTGTGGGGGTGTGCTGCCAGCTAACAAATAACAGAGGGTGCGCATTATTTGCATAAAAATATGGTATGTGATAAGGACATTCGTTTGTTTTGAATTGTCTTTCAGTGGATCTTGTAAGTAGCTTTTCAATATCTATTTATTAGAACCTAAAATTTAACTTTGGACTCCCTAATCTATCTGACTTTTTAAGTTTAAAATTGATATATTTTGAGGATATTTAGAAATTTAAGCAGATCTATTAAATACATTTTTTTTAATTGGTAAATGTTGTGTTATACATATTGTTACAACAATAAAAATATATTAAAATTATAAGAAATTCAAAGTACTTTCTGTATGAATAACAAAACTATAAACTTGCACTGAAGCCATCACCTACTCCTCACACTTGAGAAGTTTCTCAGGTGCACACTAACGAATGTGAAACTCAAGCCTTGACAGAACCCTTTCCAGACTCACTACCTTTGTAGGGCTTTTTACCTGTGTGAGTTTTCTGGTGTCTGTAAAGCTTTTCCTACAAATTAAAAAAGCATTTTCCTTCTCTTACGCTTTGATTTACCACTATGAATCTTCTTACTACCTCATTAAGTTTTCTGTTGCCTAACTGTCCGTGAAATTTACCACAAACAGGTTAGGTTAGAATATTGTTGATTCTAGAAACATGTCTATATTTTTTCTTATGGGAAACTTTTTTCTACATAGTATTATTTCCTCAGTGCTTTCTTGGGTTGGTTATCTAGTGACGTTTCCTTCTTTGAAAATTTAGAAACTACCTAATATTCTAGGTAGTCACTCTTGGACGATTTAATCTTTTAAATCTCTGAAACTTTCCACCTGAAAAATAGATTATCCCATAGTTATTATTTCTAGAAACCTAAATGGACAGTCTTCCAAATTTCTGACACTGGAAAAAGTCTTAATTTAGGTCCTGTGGAAGACTCACCTCCTTTCTGTCTCTGAGACATCCAAATGGCTACCTTTTCCCAGTCTCCCTAACAGAGCAACTTTTTATAACCTAGATGCATGTCTAAATTGTCTTCCTTGAAGAGTCTTTCTGTTACCATCTTTCTAGGCTCCTAGTAACCCTCTCATATCTATAGTTCTCCCATATGTCCTCATTGTAGAACTTTGAGGAAGGATTAAAGAATTTCTTTTTCATAGGGATAATGCAGTCACATCTATAAATGTTACTGCATCCAAATAATGATCTTATGAGAAAGAAAAAACAAAGGAGGAAGACAGGCAGAGCAAAAAGACATTTCCAGCAGCTACTCCACATACTTGGGTAGAGTTACACCAGACCAAAATCTTCTATGCAAATATGAAAATGAGGCAATTAATAGGAATTTACAACACTGTAGCCATTATTTGGAGAAGAAAAAAAGAGTGAACAAATTTTTAATAACTTGCAGGATTACCTTCTTATCAGAGATCTGAGAGTGGAAACTGTGGAAATGGCTTTAGAAGAAGGGATGATAGAAACAAACATGACAAGGGAGCAAATGAACTTATAAACAAAACTAAGAGAAAATGTGATGGGCAGTTCAGGAGAAAAGTCTGCAGAAGCAGATGAGTATTTGTCCTGGACAGAGCAAAGTTATGCAAATTCTTTACGTATTGTTGCTTTTGGAAAACCTCATTAATTAAGCTTTAATTAAATAGTAAGAATACAGCATTGCTGTTTACCTTTGAATTCTTTAGTTGATTTGTTCATCTTCTCAGTTTATGTTAGCCAAAAGATAGTATGGTTTGAGGGAGCTACAGAAGTCACTACACCCTATTCCCCAGTGTATTCTCTACCAGTTGGAGGTGGGCAGGCTAATTTCTTCATCTGACTACAGTGTCAGGTGTGGGCAGACTTAACACTTAGAAAAATAAAGAGAAGATAGCTTGATTCAGGCCAGATGTCATTATAATTTGAGAGACTGTCTAGTCCCTTACATTAATTGGAATAGAGTGGACTTAATGAAGAAGTAACAGGAAAGCTTCTTATCTGTAGAGGCACTGAAGTCTTCAAAGTGAAGCTCGCTGTGTTACTCTTGCAGTAACGTTAGAGATGTACAGACACAGGTTTGTGAGCAGGGAGGCTACCAGGCTTTGTTATACTTGTGTTTTTTAGAGACTTAGATTAAACCAAAATATTTTAAATGTGATGCGTCTGATTTACCTTCTTTATATCCGTTTTTCTATTTGTAAAATGAAAATAATGTGCCATATCTTACATTGTGATATATGTGAAAATAGTTCAAGCTCTTTGGCTAAAAGACATAATATATATAGAAGTACATATTATGATCACAGCCATTATTTAGAATGGAAAATTGGAGATGGTAATATTGTTTATAACTTCAGCCATTCTGTATAAAATTTATATTTAAGGGATAAAATATAAACTTTTAAATTTGTTTTACATTGCAGTGAGGAAGGGGCTGCATTTACACAGTGTCGTCATTTGCCTTCTAGACATTTCCGTCCCCAAGCTCAGTCTT